TTTAACGGGAAATTTGTCATTTCTTTTTACAGTAAACAAAAGGAAATTTAGGGTCATTAATACTCATGCATATGTCTAAAAGCACTCACATACATATTATATATGTGTATTCACGCGCTCTTATAAACACACACACACACACACACACACATACACATACATATAGACATAATGTATGTCCTTTATATTGCGTTGTTGTTATTGTTGCGTCTGTTGAGGGTTAAATGAAATGATTTCATTTCATTTCATTTCTCTACGCTACGTTAAAAACCTCTATGCATATGTGGAATTTATTTACTTTTTCGTGCTGTCGCTGCTACTGTTCTTGTCACATTTGTATTTTACAATTTTATGGCTTCTCTAATGTCTGCATATACCAAACAAAGTCAGAAAAACATATGATGCTGTTATCTTCTTTAGCAAACAACTAACCAGCAGCAATTCTTTGCCGTCAAAACTTTTATTTACTTTTCAGATTTATTATTGGGAACTTTAATCTATTAAACGTAATTGTTGGTAATATCTTAATTTTTCAATGTATGTGAACAATAATCGTATGCAAGTATCAAAAAAAAATTTTCAAGTTCTCTTAAATTTCTCATAATAACAAAAAAAGAGAGAAAAAAAGCCGAGTTCAGTAATAAAACAAAGTACTTATGAACAATCCCCATACAGTCAGTCACCAGACAATTAAAAAGAATGAATACAATGAATAAATATATGGATATATATATGCACATATATATATATATATATATAGGCCTTGCGCCTATAAAAGGGCGAAATTCTGGATTCTGGAATAATCTCGTTTTCGATTTCTTCGCGAACTTAATGGCCGGTCGCACACTCTTGCTAAAATCCGCGTTACCTTTGCGGGACTTTCGTGCTAAAACACTGAAACCAGACTGAGGGTTAATCGATAAACTCACTTCGTTCACTTCTAGAGCTAACTGTTAACGATTATTGATTCCCCGACCGATATATCACAAAGTAAATATTATTCATTCGACATGGATGGATTCATATACATAATGGGACAATTTTAACAGCAAAAAGTTGCCTGATCTTCCATGTACGAGCGATGATACGCAATGTTGTGATAGCATACCAAAGTGAGATTTTCCTGATCGCTTCTAATGGCCTTTAAGCTTTTGAACTTCTATCCCGTTAAATACTAATTACTTTAAATTATTAACTGACAAGCTCGAGGTAGATAGAAAACAAATTGAAAAACATTGGACTGCAAAGGGTTAAGACATTTCAAAAATCTGAACATATCTATTTTTGCTTCAGATCTCTTTTTTGAACGGGAATCGTACATTGCAGTCATTCAGCTTACTATGCATGTGCACGCGTATACACTGCTATGTGACATTTATATACAACGTGACATGATTGTACAACATTTAGTTTTCACATTCTACACCCTGAAGAAGGATATGGGAAGCTTATGTGGTCTCGAGATACATTCACCTTTTATTATGACGATCGATTCAAAAAGTGATTCCGAATCATTCGAAGCTTTTCTGTCAATGTTTTCTTATGTGCAACTTCTAGATTGCAATTTTTTAGATATAAGGTCCTGTAGCCCATAATGATTATCTTATTTGTTTTGACAACTGCATGCTATTCACAACTTTTCATTTTTCATAATTATTTTCCAGAGATTTTTCATTAATGTTAATGCATTCTTCATCACTTTGATAAGGAAGAGGTCTCCTCAGCTTGAATATAGTTCATTTCCTGTTGTGTATGTGTGTGTGTGTGTGTGCATGTGGAATTAATTTATTTTTTGCATGTTCAAGCTTCGTTTCTTCGTTCATTATTGTCTTGTTTTAAATCGCGCCCAAGAGTAGGCTTCTACTAATATAAAGGATTTTCACACTGCACTGCCACAACATAAAGAAAATTTAAAGAAATCGATAATAAGCTGGAAATGCAATATCTACAATTTGAATAAGGCTTCTTAGCGGCTACACACACACATTACAAAACAAAAAAACTTTTCTCAATAAAGAGAAACTAAAGTTTCAATTTTTTACACAAAAAACAGATCTTAGTTGATTGATTTCCTTTCAACTCACTACGGGAAAGTAATAAAAATAGAGATATTTTAGAACATCTCACTTTCTATATGTCAAGATTTTTTGTCGGATCGTGTCAAAAAAGGTCTTTATTGAGTTCCTTTAAGCCACATATCTAAAGGAAATAAAATTACTATGAAAGAAAAATTAGTCGCTTAAGTGAGAAGTGTTTTGAAAAATTCGAAGAGAGTGGTTTTTATTGTTTAACGTTCTGCTTTCATAAGTTTATAGTATATTATGTCGACAGAGGTGATATAAGAAATTCAATGTCGATCCACAGTCGGCATAGGGTGGTGCAAAGGGCAACCGTATAGGTGAGAACTACAAGAACTGTCAAGACTATGCCCCGCCCAGTTCAAATTTCAATGCAATAGAGTTTAGTTTGATCGTTGATCAGGCGAGTGTTCAGTCGGTAAAGTAATAACACTTGCCGGTTGGTCACACACTCTGCGTCCGTTTCTCCCTCTGTCTTTTTCCTCACATCTTTCCGACGAGCAGCACATTACACGAATAGGGGGTATTCCTGGAGTCGGCTTTAAAAGAAAAATAAAAAAAAAAAAAAAAGTGTTTAAATAATTAAACAATAAGCATAAGAAAATCCAACGAAAATTGCTTTTGTTGCCTACACATATGTAAATTGACTATAACGACGGTTATGGATCATCCCATCCTATTAAGTTAGAAGAGTACCGATAAGAATACCTTTTCGACATACATCCAACGAACGTTACACGCAATACCCGCAGTTCGAAGTTCGTTTTTTTTTTTCGGTCGGCATCGTAAAGAAGAAGCTCGGAAAATGAGTTTAATTGAAACTGATGAGATATGTGAAGAAAATTATTATTTACGTTCAGAATACGTTTTAATTTTAAATGCATTCTATTTAGTAATTAGTAAAAGCGCATGTATGTAACTTTTGTTTTTATGTTTTTAATACATTTATGATTGTTTGTTAAAATTGAGAAAAATCTCATGGAAATGAACGAAATTTTCCGATTCATTAAATGATATCAAAGCAATCTTCAAATTAATAGACATTGATTTATTTACAAATTCTTATTTTATGCAAGGGCACAAACATACATATATACACGGATTTCAAGTCTAACGAACCAACAAAAATTGAAATTTAATTCCAATTTTAAAATTTCTTCATCAGAAGACGACATCAAACAAAACAACAAACAAAAAAAAAAAGGAAAGAAAGACAAACGACGAACGATTCAAACTTTATCGCGACAAAACAGACGCCGAGTAAAATGAGAACGAAATCAGAAAAAGCAAAAAAAAATAAAAAATAAAATAATAATAATAATAAAATAGCAACAACAACAACAACAACAGAAAAAACAAATTAGAGAGAAAAAAAAGCAACAAGAACAACAACAACAAAAAAAAATTAAAGAAAGGAAACAAGCGAAAGGACTCAAACACAATGCAGAAAATTGTATAAAATCTTTTCCTATTTCGCTATAATGAAATCAGATACGCCTTGTTAATGCTCTTTTCTCGTTGCATGTGAAACGAGATGTTGAATATAAAGCACACACACACACACACACACACACACAAGCACACTAACAGGCACGCATACGCGTGCATATATAAACAGTGTGTAAATATGTATGTGTATATGTATGTATGTATGTATGTGTATATTGCTGAATGCAAACACACGGGGTGCGTATATAAAATTCAAATAAAATTGCTTTCTCCTCCCTTTAAGTGTACATTTTCCTTCTTATGTTGAGCTGAGCAGAATAATGATTTTTCCGATTTCAATGAAACGCTTGGTTGAGCAACTAACAACATGAGGGCGTTTTGAATGCGGTAACAAAATCATTTCATTCGTTTAGATAGGGTGTAATGTAATTGTGTTGGAATGGTTAGTGGGGCGAGTATATTACGGGGCGGGATGGGGTTAGCTTGGTTGGTTAGTTTCATAGCATCAAAACCATTAATAACAACATGCTCTGGTGTAAAGTGCGCTTTTGAATACGACTAAAATAACATTTGGAAAATCGAAACAATGTCCTTTAGCTGATATTCGAGTACGTTTGTCAGCACTTTGCGGATTGTTAACCGTTGCCGTAACCTCATTCCCCATCATATCGCATCACATCACATCACATCATTCTTTTTTTTTTTTTTCCTTTTAACCTCCCCCTCCCCTTAACCCCGTTCATACAGACACACACATACACACACACACGCACACACAAACATACAAATACACATACATTTTCACGCATATCACACAAGTTGTGATAATGCCCATCGAGGAGGGTATATCTTTTCCGCACTTGTTGTACGATAAGAAAAACTGATTCAGTGAATGGTTGGAGGTTTATTTTTCTATTTGACAACATAATCGAGTCAATTTGCAACTGTGCGCCTTGAATAAACAACTAACTGTTTGCCTGTCTGTACATATAACATGAACGCAGATACAAAAATTATGCTCCAGGCTGACTGTATAACTTTATTATATGTTTATTCTTTATATAGTTGGGCGCGTGACTTTTAACACTTGTGCTTCGTTTGGGAAAATACTATAATTTATTCATTGATACAATTTTCTTGCTAAAAAGGCAGGCCTGGCAGGCAAGCAGCCAGCAAGCCGAACATAGCAAAATGATATACAATTTTTTGGCCCTTAGTTCGGCTGAAGGGTGCCGGGAAACAAATAAACAAAAATAAACATAATAACACTTATGATGCCAACAAATTTAATTGCTGTGAGAATGTTGCTTGCGGTGAGCGCGGGCGTGTGTTTTATGTAAATAAACAAACATTACATTAACTTTCATTTAATATCGCTCTTATATACGTGCACACGCGTGCACATATATAGACACACGTCCAAGTCTAGATATAAATTAATGCTGTTTGTTATCTGTTTGGTGCTCCTTACAGGTATGGTTTAAAAATCGTAGAGCCAAGTGTCGCCAGCAACAGAATCATCAACAGTCCAACGGCCTTAACAATTCAAAACTAGTTGGCTCCGGTTCAGCCTCAACATCGGGTGCGTCGTCCTCATCACGCAACACATCGAATAATGGTAGCAGTTCAAGCAATTCTTCCAAATCCAATAATCATCATTCGTCGTTAAGCGGTAACAGTGGTGTTAACAGTAATAAAAATAACAATAGTGGCTCTACAAATAATAATTCGGCAACTACAAGTTCTTCGGCAGCTGCAGCCGCTGTTGTAGCGGCCGCTCAATCCATGAAATCACAGCACAGTTCCTTCCTGAATTCGTCTGCCTCTAACTCTAACGTTACACCTTCAATTTCTTCAGCCGTTTCTCATGGGCATCACATGGCCAATAACTCTGCGGTCTCTGCAATGGCAAGTGTCAGCGCTTTAAATTCAGCAGCGGGTGCGGCCCATCAAAACTCTTCACCGCTATTACCGACACCTGCCACCTCTGTCAGTCCCGTTAACACTGTATGCAAAAAAGAAATTATAACTGGTGGCTATCCAGGAAATGGAGGCGCTGATACATTAAGAGTTTCCTCTTACGACACCCTAAAAGAATCTGGCGGTGATATAGGCTCAACTGGTCATCACAGCATTTACGGTACTGCAGCTTCGACCAATCCTCGCCTTCTTCAGCCTGGCGGTAATATAACACCAATGGACTCGAATTCAAGCATTACCACACCCTCACCTCCAATAACACCAATGTCACCGCAATCAGCCGCTGCTGCTCATGCCGCTCAATCAGCTCAATCGGCTCATCATTCAGCCCATTCGGCTGCCTATATGTCTAATCATGATTCGTACACGAATTTTTGGCATAATCAATATCAACAATATCCCAATAATTACGCTCAAGCGCCGAGCTATTATTCGGAATACTTTAGCAATCAAAATCAAGTCAACTATAACATGAGCCATTCGGGTTATTCGGCTGCTTCAAATTTTGGTCTCTCACCAAGTCCTTCGTTCACCAGCTCTATGTCAGCTCAGGCCTTCTCGCCTGAATACATGACACCTCAAGATAAATACGTGAATATGGTGTAGAAGCTGCTTAAGCAATATTGCGGCGGCAAGTCAACGGAAGTTAATTCTTCAGAATTCTACGTTGGCTCAAGAACTCACAACGACTTCATTTAAATGACAACATTCACAAGACAAATATATATATATATATATATATAATGATAACAACAGAGCAAAATACTAAAAAAAGGTTAAAAAAAAAAAAAACATATCGCAAACTTTTGGTTAATTTCAAAAAAAAAAAAAAAAAAAAAAAAAAAAACTGCAAACTGCAAAAAAATGAAAGGGCATAATAATCTAATTTCGTGTATATACATATGTATTAGTGTGAATCAGTGTACATAAATCAAATGAAGATAAACTTACATATTTACAGTGAATATTTTGATAAGTCGTTGTGTTGTATATCTTGACAGTCATCAAAAATGAAAACAAATAAAAACAAGAAAAAAAAAAAAAAAAAAAAAGAATAAAGAAGTTAAGCAAAAACTAAAACGAAACCATTTATTAATTGAACGAAATCATTGTAAATATGTATTATTGCCATTCATAGCCATTTTTAGCAGCCAGGATCAACGAAAAAACGAGTGATAATTATTACACACAAGTGTGAGTGCATTGTATTGGCATTCATTACATTGTTGTAGTGTTAAATGTTAAAAAAAAAAATTACCATTGTAATCATTGCTACGTTTTTTCCGATAGTCTTCCCTCCTTTCTCCATAATACTCCAAAAATATGTTATTACAGCCGTCAGCGCGAATGGCAGACATATCGGGACTGCTGCTGTCTCGTCAATTCAACTCCAAAACTGTAAAGCCAATCATAAGAGATCACACAAAACATAGTTGATATTGTGTTGATCACTTATTAGACCTCGTCTGTCCGCTGCACCCTTTATAATTATGATAGATGAACATGACACCTGACGACGAAAGCTGATAGAGAAAGTTAATCCTGCATGTTATCGATCAACTTTGAAATTAAGCCTAATCAACCTGCACGTACTCTTATAATTAATAAAAAAAAAACAAAAAAAAACAAAAACAAAAAACTAAACTACACACACCAATGCAAGAGCAATCGTTGCAAATTTTGCTCATAAACTTATTAGATTTGCATAAAAACTCAGAATGAAACTCAAGGCTTTCTTCCCACAACTAATCAAAAAGTGTTCGAAGTGGTGCGTATTCAAGATGCGCTCCCAAGCGATCTCGTACTTGGCTTTCATAATACACTAAGGCTGCCAGACTTCATTGATACGTTAAAGGTTACGGGGTTAGAGGTTAACACCACTGCTACCGCCTGACTCTCGACAATTTTCTTTTTCTTTTTCTATGGACGAAAAAAGCGATAAAATAAGATAAGAACTATTCTCGAAAAGCACATTGAATTCGAACGGCTGAGTTTATGCCGTGATAAACTTTCTTTCCCATATTCGGGAAGAATCAAACGACTCATTAAATTAATGCAAAAAAAAAATAAATAAATAAATAAAAATGAAAATTGACATTCATCTCTAGTGTGAATTATTTTTTTTATTTGTTTGCAAAAAGCCGCACAAATCGCTCAAAATGTTGAAATAAATTCTAAATTTTGCAAATGTGGAAAATATGCTAAGAAAGGTATACGCAGTTTGCGGTCATGATCTCAACAAGGCACAGTTTAAAACCTCCTTTCAAGATAGAGAAGACTCTCTTCTACCCTCTTATGGAGGAGATCATAAGCAAAAGAATTTTATCGCAAAGTCCGCTATAAGAAGATCCCCTAATGTTAACTAGACTCTAAACAATGAAATTATTATTAATTTATACCTTGCTTCCATGTCAACACATACTATTGAGCGAAGGCCAATAAATCGATCTACTATGTGGAAATTTCGTGCAATCAACTTTTATGAAAAGTTATCGTCGAAGGCCATTTTTCGTATGGAAAGGCGACTGACCTTATCGCAATCGAGTTCCTCACATCATCTTAGATGATTGCAGCTGATGATTTTTGTCGAGTTGTTTTCTTCTATGAACTTTTTCGAAATGAGACGTTATATCGGTAGTGACAGCAAAAGTGGTTCCATTCAATCGATTTTCAATAGGTTTTGGGTAAAAGCACTTCGGTGTACTACGCACTTTCATTAAAATATCTCATAAATTGCAACCTGGGTAGGCATCAGACAACGGAAGGCAACGGAAAGGACAGTTTAAATCGATTTAAAAAATGATCCTCCATACGTCCGCGCCAATCACGCATGTAGTATAGAGTGCAAAGAACTATTAAGAGATAAAACACAGCCAACTTAAGTTTTTACTATTTTCCTTTGTTCAATTTTCAAATCTTATAAAGTCAGCAGCTTTTACAGAGGGCAGCTGTAGAGATGAACTAACATTGGCGCGTCGGTATTATTTTATAACAAGATTTCAAGATTTCGATTTGCTATGAAAAAATGTTATCTCGTTTTAAAGATTATCGAATATCTATTGCTATTAAAAGGCATAATAGCGTGTCTCAGTGTATGTGAAATGAATCTTTTAAAATATATGCAACCAGCAAGCACCACAAATGGATCGAATTAATGAAAAGTGTTTGATATTTCGCTTCTTATTCGTATCTACAGACTCTTTTGCAAGCAACGCAGTTTAGTATTCAAAATATAAACCCATAGCCTAAATCTTGTGTTTAAATGGGAATCGGCCCAGCCTATCTACACTCAATATGTTTCACTTTCAGTCATTTTATTTTTGCATTAATTTAATGGGTCGTTTGATTCTTCCCGAATATGGGAAAGAAAGTTTATCACGGCATAAACTCAGCCGTTCGAATTCAATGTGCTTTTCGAGAATAGTTCTTATCTTATTTTATCGCTTTTTTCGTCCATAGAAAAAGAAAAAGAAAATTGTCGAGAGTCAGGCGGTAGCAGTGGTGTTAACCTCTAACCCCGTAACCTCTAACGTATCAATGAAGTCTGGCAGCCTTAGTGTATTATGAAAGCCAAGTACGAGATCGCTTGGGAGCGCATCTTGAATACGCACCACTTCGAACACTTTTTGATTAGTTGTGGGAAGAAAGCCTTGAGTTTCATTCTGAGTTTTTATGCAAATCTAATAAGTGTATGAGCAAAATTTGCAACGATTGCTCTTGCATTGGTGTGTGTAGTTTAGTTTTTTGTTTTTTTTTTTTTTATTAATTATAAGAGTACGTGCAGGTTGATTAGGCTTAATTTCAAAGTTGATCGATAACATGCAGGATTAACTTTCTCTATCAGCTTTCGTCGTCAGGTGTCATGTTCATCTTTCATAATTATAAAGGGTGCAGCGGACAGACGAGGTCTAATAAGTGATCAACACAATATCAACTATGTTTTGTGTGATCTCTTATGATTGGCTTTGCAGTTTCGGAGTTGAATTGACGAGACAGCAGCAGTCCCGATATGTCTGCCATTCGCGCTGATGGCTGTAATAACATATTTTTGGAGTATTATGCAGAAAGGAGGGAAGATTGTAGGAAAAAACGTTGCATTAACTCTTGTCTTTTTTATATTTTTTTTCACTTTTGATGACTGTCAGCACATACCAATGCCACGACTTATCAAAACAATCCGTATAAATGTGTACGTTCATCTTCGTAGATTTATGTACGCGAAACTATGAATGTCCTTTCACTTTCGCGTAATTATGTAAAGTTTATATGTCTTATTATTATTTTACTTTTTACCATTTTTTCAGTAAGATTTTAAGAAAACGAAAAAAAAAATAAATATATTACTCCTTTAGTCTTTTACTTTCTTTTGCTTTCATTTTTATCTATTACTACTCTTTCCCGTCAATGCTAGTGGAAACATATTGAATATATTCGAAGATATAGCAGGAAATTACAATTCTACATGGACGCAGAGACTACCACGTGTAACCGCTTGCAAAATATTTGCCTTTGAATAGGAAGTGGCGATCAAAGAAAAAAAAGAAAACAAAAATACAGGAATCTATCAGCAAATTGTTAAAGCACACAGACAAATAGTTAAGAGTATGTAGACATTTTCGCTAACCCTTGTTATAAGGTTTCCTAAAAAAATGTTGTTACTCTTAACTATTTCCAGAAAATTTCAATCACTCCATCCGAGGCTGTAATGCTTTTTATGAACAAATTTTTCAACATTTATGAGATATGAAATTAATGGTTTCACGCTTTAGAGCGTTAGGGGATATTACGATCCATTCCTTAATCTTTGAAAGCTATTCTTTTAACCCAAATAAAAATTAATTAATTATTATGCCAATTAATTCTAAGCATAATTTTTCGAAATGTTTTTAAAGAGGCCTTCTATTATATGTAGTAAAGGCTTACTTCTATTGCAAGCCGCCAAGAAAATAATTATAATTCACTCTTCAACTGTAATACAATTTAACTTTCACTGGGTATAGCAAACAGCAAATCCTGTTTAACTCTACACTGAAGAGAAAACGTAGGATCTCTTAACGGGATTCATTTGCTTTCTTATATCATATTGCAAAGCAAAAAGTGTGCTATGGTTTATTAAAAGGCAGCTGAAATAAAAAATAAAAAAAACAGAAGAAGAAGAAAACGTTACATATATCTGGCAGTCTTTCTCTCTCTCCCCCTCCCCCCCCTCTCTGTATATCGAGAAATTTTAGTAACAAAGTACGAAGAAATGATATAATTATATAATTAAAAACATTATTAATTGAAATTCACAACTAAAGAAGTATTACGGCATCATTTTTTTTTTTACTATAACTTTTTTTTGCTTTCTCTTTGTTTATCTCGTTATACGAATAAAGTGTTTATCTTCACCATTACTTTCTGAAAATGTTTAATGTTTTCTAAAAGGTTTTCCATATCAAAGGAAAGGAAACGGAGAAATTTAAAGTGAAAACAAAAACAACATCTTATAAGATAAATATCATAAATTAATAATAGTAATTATAATAAAGAAAAAAAAAATAAATAAAATAAAAAAAAATAAATGAACATTAAGACTTGTAAAAAATGTTTAAAAATAAAAGCATTTGTTTTATGTGTAAAATGTAAAAAAAGAAAACAAAATTTGTAAAATTAAACTTTTAGGAAATAAATAAAAATAAAATATTATACATAATATAAAAGGAGAGATTTAATAAATAAATGTTCAAATCTTTAAAAAGAAACAAAAAAAAAAAAAAAAAAAAAA